TTTTTTTTTTTGGAAAAAGAAGGGGTCCCCTACACACACAAAGCCCCCCGGGGCGCCCGGAAACGTTTTTTTTTCCCCCCTTTTTTTTCCCCCCAAGTAAAGGGGGAAAAAACAAAGTTATGGGTTTTTCCCCGGGGAAGAGAGGGGGGGGGGGGGGGGTCTTCCCCCTTCTTTGGGAAAAAATTTTTTCCCCCTGGGGGTATTTTGGAAACCCCCCTTGGGGTTCAAAAAGGAAAATTTTTCCCCCCCCCCCCCCCCCCAACAAAAAAACTACCAACCACGCCTTTGGATTCCAGATCACTCACTTGCAGGCCGGACACCACGTAGCACATCGCAGCTCCGAAGATAACGGCGAACGCCGAAAAAACGATGCCCCCGGCGTGCCCGCTGTACCTGGCCGCGAGGGACATGCCAGCACTCGCACAGGCCATCAGGTTTACGACTAGCACCTCCATCACGCCCTCCCGCCCCTGCTTTCTTTCGCTCGCGAGCTTGGGGGGGGGCGTGGTTTCGTTGTCGGTGCAAATCTCCGAGCGGGCCACGAGGAGGGGATGGACCTGGCAAGCACTGCGAAGGAGGGGCGGGGTGACAAGGGGTGTGGGGAGGATGTAGGAGGGGGAAAAGCTTAGACTGCTGCCGGTGCCGCTGCCCTTGTTGGTGCTGTTGCTGTCTGCTAACGGCCATGTTGCTGGTTCGAGCCAACGGCACATCGGACGGAGAAAGGAAGGACGGAGAAAGGAAGGGCGACTGTCCGCCCTACACACAGCTATCATTTTCACTGCTTTTTTACTCTACCAGGAGTACAACCGGTGCCGAAGTCGCGCTAGCGCAAACACAAAAAACACAAACGGGAAACGGCCGAGTGCACCACACACGAGCACATGCACGGCAAGTCGAAGAGCGTTGACATGGTTTGTGAGGCACAAGAAGAAACGTGTGCTGGCTTCGCGACCAGGTTAAGCAAGTGCTGCTCGGGCAGCGCCCGGGTAGCAAGTATATGGAGAACGAGAGACGGGAAACACAACAAGTCCATATGCATATACAATACAATACAATACAATACAATACAATGCAATGCAATACAATACAACGCATACCGAGATCGTAACGCCAAATGGCTGCTGGTGACGAAGTTGAAGGCGAGCAACACCCCAGCGCTAATGAGGGTGTTGAGCGAGTCGAACGGAACCAAAAGCGCCGTAATCATGCAGATGCCACCGCTAATCTGCGGTCGCGTGAAAAGCGTTTAGAGCGACGACAGCAACGGTTAGCGAGTGGGCACGGACTGACAGCAGGTTGAGGGATAATACGGTTGGCGAAAATGGAGCGCCTCGTGCCTTCCACGGTCGAATGAATTAGTGTTGGCGAGGTGCGTCTTAGTGTATCGGTGACTTCTCCGCTACAAGCCGTAGATGAACGAGGGCGCTTTAAAGTTGAGAGAGCCTGATGCACTCTCGCTGTCAGGACTCTCACAAAATGCTTCCTGAGCCCTGCCCGTCTCAGCAAGTGGCTGATGCTAAGCTTATCCTTCACCGGGGGTAAGGGGCGACGTCGGGAAAAATGCGGTCCGGACTTGTCCGACAACAACCCGCGTGAAAAGACTTGCCCTGAACCGTTCACTACCAAACCAAAACGACATCGTGTTTAATACTCGCACAACTACAGCGCCCCGTATTGCATCTCTTCCCGCACAAATAAAAACTCGTACCGCAAGAAAGTTCTAAGGGGCGTTAAGCATTCCTTGACGGCATCGTGCAGTCTACATGCCAGAAAAGACAAAAAAAAACTATTAATATCGTTGGATAACATTAGTGCATGATACCGTACAAAATACAGCACCAGCAACTATGCACCACCAACGCTACAACACGAGGACCCCGCAGGTAAAAAGTACAGTACTGCACATCACGCGGCAAACAGAGTACGCTACAGCACCCACAGCACCAACCCCCAGAAAAACGGGCACCACACCCCGTACACGCACCAGAGACCCCTTGAAAAGCGTTCCGCGTGAGTCCACCTCAGCGAACACCCTCGGAAGGAGGCCGTCCTTCGCCATGGCGTACAGCAGCCGGGGCTGGGCCATGAACGACACCAGCACCACCAAAGGAAGGGTGGCGAGCTCTCCGATAGTGGTTATCTGGCATGCAGGAAGAGGAGGGCGTGCTCATGAAAAAACGCATGACGCACACTCCGCATCTGCCGGGACGGCGAGATATGCCCGCTTTTCGCCGGCCCAGGCTGTACGCTTTTACAAGGATGAATCAGCAGCTGGTCCGTCTCATCCTTGCTTGTGGTGTGCCAAACCAGATATGCAACGGGTGGAAGTGGGCATCCCTGACGACTGGGGTGAGACAATAAGACCGGTCAAGGGTACCTTGTGAGAGAGAGAGCAGGTGCTGTGCCTTGGTTGTAGCATCGATTTCATTGACACCACAGAAATGGACCAATCGCACTCCTCCGATGCGATTCCATCGGAAGGTGATCAGTTGTACTTGTATGGGTGAGTGGGGAGCTCACAACACCGATCGTCTCACGACAAACACGCAACCGTGCGCAAGCGCGAGCAAGTCGGAAACTCAGTCTCAAAAACGCCTCCGACCACGTACACCCAGAGTGCCGTTGCAAACCCGCCAAACATTTCCGTGTCAGCGAAGCATTCGCCAGAATCCCCATTTCACCCGTCAGTGCAACCGCCGCCGACATTCGCACAAGGGGCGGGATTTCCCGGGCCTTAACGCATAAAGTTCTGTTAGGCGGTTTGCCATTCTTTAGAAAATACACACAACAACACAGAAATACTTATCTACCCGTTCGAGATATACCCACTGTCGAAGGGGTTGTGCTGAAAGCTTTCAGAGGGAATCCATGTCGTAACCGTGGGTCACCTGGTAAGCGGTCATCATTCCGCGTGCCCGAAACGCCTCCGCGAACGCGGAATCAGGGTCCAGGTTCGGCGCAGACTCTGCTCCAGACAGCGACACCGAGGCCATCGCGCAGACGATCGTGACGCCCAGGAGGGACGCGAACAAGGCGCGCGGAACGTGCTTCGCGGGGTTCTTCGCCTCGGGCGCTAACAGCACCACCTAAGGGAAGGGGGGCCAATTTCCAGGGGGGGGGGGGGGGGGGGGGGGGG